GCGGAGGAGGGCCATCTCAGGGTGAAGATCAGCAGCAAAGGCGCTGCACTTAGCTATTGCCGTGGTCATTTAGGGTCGTAAATAAAGCCGCAGTGCAGGTTATAAGGGAAGCAGTGGTGCAGAAGGAAGGAAAGGAAGAAAAGAAGAAAAGAAAGGAAGGAGGAGCTAGGAAGAGAGACAGACACTTGGAAATGCATGACTTTTCAACTTCCTGTTGGAAAGATTCCAAGAGAGACAGAAATCTTCTGGAGCACATAGGAGGAGTTGTCTTTGGCCACAGGTGACTGTATACGGTATCATAGTGCATTCTCTCTGTATGTCACCTATTGCCATACAGTAATGCACTTATCCATCTGTACAGCACGCTTTTTAAAGCAGGTGGGGCCTGTAATCCCAGCCCTTGGGAGGCTGAGGCAGGAGGGTCTCCAGCCTGGGCTACTTAGCAAGGCCCTGTCTCTAAATAAATAAACAGCACTTGGGATCAACCTACTCGGCTTTCAGGAAGAGCACGAGATGGAGGGACGGCGGGGAACATTCCGTGTGCTTACATTTCCAACTGCCATTCCAACCGCCACTTGAAGTTACTACACTTGATTTTAGCCAAAAGGCGGAGAAGCGATGCCACTTGAAGTTACGAACAGAGTTAGGACTGGGATCTTAAGGTATCAGTTTCCTACAGATCGCTCTCCAATTCTTTGTGTCTCTAGCTTTTGGAAAGCCCTTTTCCACCCTTGACGGTGACACCGAAGGTAAGGCTGTCGCTTCTAAGTCAGAACAGTGATGCTTTGTTTGGAGCTGACATGTGGATTTATAAGTCTCCCACGCTGGGCTTTCTCCCTATTTCAGTGTTTGAAGTCTGGATTTTTTTCAGTCCTGCTTGAATATTCTGGTTCCCTAATCTGACTCCTTTAAGAGTTCTTTTTGCTTTGAAAGACCTCTTTTGTTTGTTTTGCTTTTTTTGACACAAGAACTCAAGGTTGGCCTTGAACTCACTGCAATCCTCCTGCCTCAGCCTCCCTAGGGCTAGGATTATAGGCGCGTACCAGCATGCCCAGCTAAAGTCCTCTTCTAATGGCTTACATTTTCTCTAAATATCCTTTTTTTTTTTTGGTACTGGGGATCGAACTCAGGACCTTGCACTTGCGAGGCAGGCACAGCACCACTGAGCTAAATCCCTGGCCCCCATCCTCAATCCTTTTTAAAGATTTAAACAAAAAAAAAATTTTTTTTTTTGGTACCGGGGATCGAACTCGGGTCGTTGCACTTGCAAGGCAGGCACCAGAACTACTGAGCTAAATCCCCAGCCCCAAACAAATTTTCGAACTGTGGTACATACCTGTCATCCCAGCACTCAGGAGGCTGAGGCAGGAGGATTACCAAGAGTTTGTGGCCAGCCTGGACTACATAATGAGTACAAGGCCAGCCTGAATTGAATCTCATAGTGAGGCCCTATCTCAAAAAAAAATTTTTTTGGGGGAGATGGGGTCTCATTAAGTTGCTACGTTTCCCAGGATGGGGTCCAACTGGCAATTCTCCTGCCTCAGCCTCCCCCAGTGCTGGGATGACAGGTTTTTGCCTATATAGAGCAGTCATATTCAAGGGAACTGTATGCTGCCTTGCACTCCTGTATCCCAGGTTGCAGATAGTAAGTCAGTCAGGATTCAGGAGACCTAGGGACGGGGCCAAGTAGTGTCCTTCGCTTTTCTTTCGGCTGGGTCACAAGGTCACAGTCACTGCTGACAAGAAGCACACAGCCCTGGTGCTGGTTTTAATCTTATCTGAGATTTTACAAAAGAAAGATGTGCCTACGGTTCACATGGTTTCTCCGCGGGATGTGTCTGGTTTGTAAGTGAAGGTTACAGACTGGAGAAATATTCTCTTGATCGTTGATTTGAGCTCCATAGTAATAGGGGTGCACCCTGTTTGGGGTCCAAGACTGAGAGGAGGAACAGAATTAGAAACCAAGCTCTTGAAAAATAGGAGATTTAGCTCAGTGGTTCTGGCACCTGCCAGAATTTGATCCCTGGTAACAAACAAACAAAAAACAAAGAAAAACAAAGGAGAAAGAAAGCAGTTCCTCTTGTCTATCACATATAAATGTTGCAGTGACAAAACAAAAGAACAAGAAAGTCAGCAGAAACCAGTACTCTCAAGGGGATGGGAGAGTAGGTAGAACCAGGTGGAGCTGGCAAGGAGGACTTCATGGCAAAGATGAGTTGACCGGAGGGGAGGGGCTCAGGACTGCTGGAAAGGGTGATGAGGTCTTTCCAGCAACACCAGGAGCAAGGGCGAGCTAGGATAGCTAACCGTAGCTGGGCCTAGTGGTGAACGCCTGTCATTCCAGCATTCAGGAGGCTGAGGTAGGAGGATCACCGTGAGTGAGTTCAAGGCCAGTTTGGGCTGCATAGAAAGACTCTGAGTCTCATCAAAACAAACACTGGGGTAAAGGTGAAAAAATTTATTTTCGGTACTGGAAGATGAATCCAGGACCTTTGTATGGAGTCCGGGCCTTTTAATTTTTTGAGAGATGATCTTGCTAAATTGCTCTGGTTGGTTCCTACTTGCCATCCTCCTACCTCAGCCTCTTAAGAGTGCTGGGAGTAGAGGCCTGGAACCACGCTCAACTGGCTTTATATTATTATTATTATTATTATTATTATTATTATTATTATTATTATTATTTTATTAGGTAACAGAGATTGAACTCAGGACCTTGTGCTTGCAAGGCAGGTGGGGTGCCACTGAGCTAAATCCCTGGCCCTGGCTTTCTTTTCTTTTTTTTTGGTACCGGGGATCGAACTCGGGCCCTTGCGCTTGCGAGGCAGGTGGCAGAACCACTGAGAATCCCCGGCCCTTTTTTTTTTCCAAAAATTTTTCCTGGCTTTATTTTAAACATTAAATCATGAGGTGTGTGTGTGCTTTCTTTTCTTTTCTTTCTTCTTCTTTTTTTTTTTTTTGTAGTTCTTTGAGACAGGGTCTCACTATATAGTCCAAGCAGGTCTTGAACTCACTATGTAGCCCAGGCTGTCCTCGAACTTATGGCAATCCTCCTGCCTCGGCCTCCTGAGTGCTGGAATTACAAGCATCTGCCACCATGCCTAACTATAGATATTCAATCATGAAAATAAAAATATTTCTAATTTTTGAAATCACTTTCAAAGGCCCAAATCTCATTGGTTGATGTAACCTGGATCATTAAAGGTTTTCCGGTTTTTAAATATTTTTCAAAACATGCCCTGAATGTAAAAGAAAAGAACAAGCAGTAGGGCCA